TGTTGACCTTTAAGATCAACATTTGCCGCCCTAGGCAAGCCAAATCATTAATTTTAACAAAACCTTAACATATTGACACACATTAGCATTTTCTCTCAGATACAAAAATGCTTTCAAGTATGTTTTTGTTTCCTTCAATCTATCTGACTAGCTACAAATGAAAAATGCAATATTGCAAATGACATCTAGTGCTGAGTGCAGTTTAATGATATTGACATTTTTATGACTGTCTTTCAAAATAATATACAGCTTATGAAATTCATGACAAAAGCTCTTTTTGGGATAATCACATAATCCACTGATCTTTTAAGCACAGTTTATACCTTTAATCCCCCCACAAAAGACAGTATCCATTAGAGTGAAATGTCCATATCGGAGTCTGAAATGTGATGGTCTGTCGGTCCTGGTGATTTCTCATTTGGTGATCTGCTTTTCAGAAAAGTGTAGGGCTGATACAGATGACTGGATGATCCCATATACATGCATCATCCAAAAAGCACAAGCTCTCAGAGGACTGGGTTAAAGATATGAACTAAGCATGAACAAATGACGAAGCTGTCAATGCACATGAACAAATTTATTCATGCACCAAAATTACATTTTTGGAGCATGCCGGAAATGCAAAATTACAAATTTGGAGCATGCTTAAACTGCTGGGAAAATAAATAAATAAATTAAAAAAAATCTGAAGCTCTGTATTGAACCACTTTATATGATGAAAATAAAGCAATGTTATGTTGTAAATTAATAAATAATTTCATTTAACTAAAAATAAAATTAACATTTCAATAAACAGTTAATTGTTAACAGTGAAAATATAATAACTTATTTTATTGAACTAAAATTAATTTGATCAGACATTCTTTTCGAAGATAAAATTTAAACCTTAAAGCTAAAATATTTGGAAAACAGAATTTGTAACAAAGTAAGATTAAGTCCAAGAAAAGTACAAAAAGTAACATTAACCTCAACCTTTACTGCACTTTGTTATTCTTCTAGCTATTTATCTATAGCGGCTAATGAATCAGAAGTCTCACACATTCACAGAAAATAGCTTAGGGGAGCACGGGGCACAAAGTAATTAACCACTGTGATCTTTAGAATTCCGGATTTCCCCGAAACGTTGCCACAATGTACTGTGACATAATTGCTGTCACAATATTTATCTTACTGAGTACATTTTCTAAAAAAAAAAATAAATAAATAAAAAAAATTTTTTTCTAATGCTAAAGGGAACAAACATAGATTTAACATTAAAAGCCTGAGGGCATGCAGCTCACCTAATGCATGGCTGAAGGATTTCAGCTTAAATATGGAGTTGCATTTCAGTGCAGAAAAATCCACATGCTACATTAAGGTGCTCTTAACAATGATCAAGGCTCTGGACCTCTGCAGAGGTTATTAAAGACAATGTTACTCTAAGATATAATTTGATACTTAAAGGTGCACTAAGCAATATTTGAACGCTTTTGACCACAGTGTCGGACCGAGTCCCAAAACACACTCGCTGCCAATCAGCAGTAAGGGGCGTGTCTAGTAATGATAGGGAGAAGAGAGCGCTCAGTGAGTGCACAGGATGGATATTAGCAGATCGACTATAGATAGCAAGAGATGGCAGATAAAAAAAGAGGAAAATTTCGGAGGAACAAAACATTAAAATGGCATTCCACTCCATCGGCTCTTCGTCTGCGCCACGGGCTCCTGCATTGTCCTAGTCACCACCTGCACTCATTCCCATGGTAGCATTGACACCATGGCTCCTCCCTCCAGCGACACCACCGTGGGTCGCATTCCTGGCTGTGGTCTGGATCACCAACTGTACGTTCCTACTCAAGGCCATCCCCTGGATCACTCCTCCACCTACTCCACCCTGGACTTTTCTGTTAAGTCCTCTCCTGGGTTCCTGTCTTCCACCAATGCCTCTATCCTTCTGCCAGCACAAGGTTGCGCTTTCCAGGAGGGGGCGTACTGTCACACTCACACACTGTTTGGACAGTTTCCTTTTTTGCACCATTTCCCTTAGTTGTCATGGTTGTTAATTGATTTGTCATTTAGTTCAGCTGTACGCACCTCATTACTGCCAGTACTTAAGTTCTCTCTATTTTGGTTCACTTTGTCCTGCCTCGTTTAATCTTTGTTGAAGTTTACCCTGTGTTCCAGTTACCTGAGAATAGTATTAAAGGATTTTTGATCTTTCGTTTTCGTGGTCGTGTTTGCAACAAACAGTGACAGTACCTTCGCATTTGTTTGATTTTATTTATTTATTTTTTCTATCTTCCTTTTTTTGCAAACATTGAAAAGATTCGCTTCATGTTAAGATGGAAGCCCAGCTACAGAGAGCAAGATCACCAGAGTGGCAACAATTTAAGCAATATCCTTATTAAAGGGGTCATCGGATGCCCATTTTCCACAAGTTGATATGATTCTTTAGGGTCTTAATGAAAAGTCTGTAACATAGTTTGGTTCAAATTTCTCAATGGTAGTGTAAAAACACCTTTTTTACCCTGTCTAAAACAGCTCTTTTCAGAGCAAGCCACCCCGAGCTCCGCCCACCGACCCACTCTCCTGCATACATGAACCTAGTTACCTCTGGTTGGCCTGACCGTGCGTCACTCAGAAAACAACAGGCCAGTCAGAAGAGAGGCTCATGAATATTAATTAGACAGGCCAAAATCGACCTGTTCTCAGCAGAGCTCCTGAGAAAGGAGCTGTAAAAATATATTGAGATGGTTTTTGGTACTTATACCACAAATATATATTCTTAAGGACATCAAAACCTAAAATAAAACTCCAGAAAGGTGTAAAATATGGGACCTTTAAATAAGAGTGAAAAAGAAAGAAAGAGAGAGATAGAGGGACTGAGAAAGACGTCTGCTAACAATGTCATAGTACTAGTAATTGGAGAGTTGGAACAAATCTTTTTCCACCTGTCTTAAACCTGAAGCTGTCTTTGCTTTCAGTTTACCTCTGCAGAAAACCACAAACAGAGTAGCTTTCCAATGAAAGCTTCTTTAGTGCAATATTGTAATCAATATGAAGAAACCATCAGAACACATCAAAGCAACACAGAAGTCCATGTCCAGTTTAACCAGTTTTTACCCAAGTTATTAGTTGAAAACGTGTTTTTGACATCAGATTTAATTTCTTTTTAGTATGAAAGCTTTATTCTGCGTCTGGATGTGGGAACGGCTCTTGAGTTTACTTAAAAATAAAGATTGGTATATGGTTCATATGGACTCCATCTGTATAATCTGCAGAACCACTATTAACGCTGGACCAATGACAATTGGGGCTGATGCCCTGCAAGCAGAATGGAATACACATTTGTCATTTGGATATGTCTCTGGGAAAAAATAGCTTGAATGAGCAGCTCACCTTCTTTCTGTCTCTTGCAGCAGAAGAACACATGTTACTCTTTGCATTTTAAGTTAAATATTTGGCACTATTGCCAGTGTTACTCACACTGATAATTCAAACAATGTGAAAAGAGACCTGCAGGGGCAGGGGGCTGGAATCGAAATGAGTTTTGCCAAGCAAGTATTGGCAGCTGAATCACAGCTGATGATCTTATGTCAAGAGCTTAGCTTTCAGGTGAAATGTGGACTCCTGAGGATAATACTCCACACATCTAGAGATGGCTACAACCAAAGCACCATAATTATGAGGGCACTGGCAACTTAGGTTGCTGACAGCACCTGGCCCAAGAGAAGAGTAATACATTCATGATAATCTTATTCTTATCCTTATCATTTGCATCATTTGTCATTATCAGTTGAGCAAAACGCTGACCAAAGTATGTACAGTTCAAATCAGTAGCCTTTGAAAGACTTTTAGATTTTTTTTCTCATGTTCTGGCCTTCATATTGATTCAAACAGAAGGGTCCGCTAGTTAGTGAGTATACAGTGAACATAACCATTCACACTCACCTTCATTAAAGTGTATTTGTAAAGGCTTGGAGCAGAACATGGAAAATGAACTACAGTATACATGGGCCTTAATGCTCAGAATGTTACAATAGTAAATTTATATATTTAAATGCACTTTAAAAGTTTCACTGCAGTCACACTAAAGCAAGAGTTCTTTTATAATGTCATGTAAAAGCTTTAGACTGACTGAAATAACATGGACTAACTGGACTAACATACCAATGCCTCGTTTACACCTGGTAGATGGAATTTTGGTGGTCTAATCACAAATGTTCAGCAATAAATACAGGTGGAAATGAGGGCCATATTTGTGTGTATAGTATGCTCCTTCTATATATTAGCATTTAATTTAAATTTCAGATTTAAATTTCAGCGACATTGCGCATTCAAAAAGACAACATGGTTGAGATGTAAAGTATTAAGAACAACACACACAGAAGTCACTTTCAAACGAAGCAGCTTTTTTGTTGGTCAGTGTAGCAAATTTGTGTGACCATTCTGAAATCTGCATGGTGAACTTTCTTGTCCTCACGGGAAACTGATCGTGCAAATTCCTACTGGAAATTTTTCAAAGCAACAGCAAATGTGACCGCACATTAAATGTGAAATATAGGCAAAAATTCCAAATAAAAACAAAACAATCCATTCAATTTAACAGGGCATGCTACTCAAAATAGGTGGTTCTTATAAGTAGCTTCCGTAGATGAACTGCCCCTCTGTGTGTGAGGCTTTTCACTGAGGTACCAAACAGCTACTGGGTTTTTGTCTTTAAGACAAGAGTTATTTAGCTCAAGGCCAGCTAAGAGATGCTTATGAGAGAGACATTATAGCTCACATTTTCTCTGCTAATTTCAGCCTCAATCACAACAAACAGTGACTACTGACTACAACTACAATCTGCAACATTTGCTTGTTCTGTGGCACTGAACTGAGCTGATCATGAGTGAAAAGGAAACTGCTTCAAAATGATGTCTTGTGTTGAGGACCACGGCATTATCTCTTTAAGTTAGGATCAATAAGAGTGACTGTTCAGAGAATAAGCAGGACATGCGAATCCATCTATGGCTGCTTACCTTGGCACTGAAATCCTTGCTTCCCAAACCCCCTGATGAAGAGAGAGAGAAAAACAATGCATTAGAGATCTGCCTCTCTAAATCCTTTAATGGGCTTTTAGCTATCAGTTCTCTTCCACTGAACATGCATTCCCTTAATTAAAAAAGTACATGAACAGCTATGGTATCTAATGTTTGATTTGTATCAATTGCACATATAGGAAAACCATAAAAAGGCATGCCCTTTCACAGTGACTTTTACAGGGAGCCATAAATTTGATCATTAAAGCAGAACTGCATATCTGAACCCCTAATTCCTATTTTAAATTGTATAGGTTACTAAATAAACTAGCAACACGTGTGAAGCAATGACTTGACTGAGCAGCTAAATGCCCCACTGTAAGCCTGGACAAACCGATCACGCCCAAATCATGGCAAGCCCAGTAAACGCGAGGCATGCAGACTATGGCAGTAGTCCGAAACTTAAGCAACTTTAGCTTTAGTTCTGTCCAAAAACAAAATACATTTATTTTACGAAGGCAAGTTAAAGCGCGTGAGCCTTGTGAAACAAGAGTTCTGTCTTACAGTCCAATAAACTCTAAACATGTGTTTTATTCATGTGCGTTCTGAACACAGCTGAAATGGAAACAGTGAGTTTCTAAATTCTTAAACCGGTGTCTGTTCCAAGGTGTACTCCTGGTAACAGGCCAGCTGCAAGATCTACAGTAACACTGTAATAATCTTTAAACTTATACCAATATTGCAATAATTCGTGTGTGAAATGATCTAGCTACTCACCAAATAAAGTCAGTGCAGTGACTGCAGAAAGTCGGCTGCTTGAAAAACCTCGCAATAAATTTGTGGTTTTTCACTTCATGGACGTTTTTCTGCCTCAAAGCACCTTTACGGGCGAATCGATTTGCAACGTCAGATGAGGACTGCTCGTTGCTTTGTATGATATCAGCCATTGCAGAAACAGGAGAGAATAATTATCCGTAGAGTATGTGGAAGTTGCTGTCAGGTAAATATAACGTTGTTTTTCTGCCGTGTCGTTTGTCCGGGTAGCGCAACAGTTGGGTGCGCGCGTGCGGAAAGGGTTTCTCTTGCTTTCGCCACAACTACTGTGTGACAGCTTACAGCGAGCGCTCCGCTTCCTTCTCGCTCGAGGTGACGTCACTGAAGTGTCCTTGTGCTGGGAGTGGATAATAACTCTCGCCACTGGATCATGAGTCCCGTGCAATGAGCGTCATCCGGCGGTCAAGAAACCAGTGTGCACGTTTCGGTGAGAAATCCACAAGATAATCGTCCAAGACTTTTGTGACAAGTTTGGAACTTCGTTTGGTTGCTCTTCCTTTCACACCTATAGTTCAGTTCCATATCTACGTGCCCTGCTGAATGTTGTGCTGTGGAGGCTGCATGGTCTTCACCATGATGTCCCCAGTCTCCACTAGCTCTTAATTTGCTTCTTAATTCGCCTAACCAGCAAGACATCCTTGATCAAGTGTCAACGCAAAATCACTATACTGATAGACCACCAGTCCAAGTAAAAGGCTTAGTAAAAAAGCAAAGCTATAACTAGGGTAGGCTACACAACATAATTTTACATGACAGAGAGGTGTTGGGCTAAACTTGTAGACCTACCAAGTGCAATCTGTCTTGACACCCAACTGAATAAGTGAAATTGTGGGAAACACATTTTAGTTAACTTTTTTTTCTTTATTACATTAAGTATATTTCATTGCATTATTAAGGGTTACGGTAAACTGGAATGAGAATAAACATGAAGACATAATTGTTAGATATTGAGAATGTAATATATTTTGACTTTCATAATGGTTGGACAGGTTGCCATATTAATTATCATTCAAATGTAATTCAAACATTATAATTCAAATGCATTGTGTTTTATTGCCTGCTGGGAGGTACACTTTTGATTGGGCAATGTTTTTCATGAACATTTTTGTTATTCTGGTTGAAAGTCTCTTCACAGCTCAGAGGTGGACAGTAACGAAGTACATTTACTTGAGTACTGTACTTAAGTACACTTTTTGAGTATCTGTACTTTACTTGAATATATTTTTTTCTGAAAACTTATGACTTTAAAGGGTTACTTCACCCCAAAATTAAAATTTTGTCATTAATCGCTTACCCCCATGTCGTTCCAAACCAATAAAAGCTTTGTTCGTCTTCGGAACACAATTTAAGATATTTTTGATGAAAACCGGGAGGCTCGTGACTGTCCCATTGACTGCCAAGTAAATAACTCTATCAAGGCCCAGAAAAATAGGAAAGACTGCATACGCAGTTTGCATTCAGTGGATACTCTTCAAAATGGCGCTACGGTGACGCGGAGGAGACGAATTGTTGAATAAAGTCGTTATTTTTGTTTTCTTTGCGTACAAAAAGTATTCTCGTTGCTTCATAAAATTCAGATTGAACCACTGATGGCAGATGTACTATTTTGACGATGTCTTGTATACTTTTCTGGGCCTTGACAGTTTACTTGGCAGTCAATGGGACAGCCACAAGCCTCCCGGTTTTCATCCAAAATATCTTAAATTGTGTTCCGAAGACGAACAAAGCTTTTACGGGTTTGGAACGACATGGGGGTAAGTGATTAATGACAACATTTTCATTTTAGGGTGGAGTAACTCTTTAACTTCACTACATTTGAAAGACAAATATCGTACTTTTCACTGCACTACATTTTAAAGTCCTCGAAGCAGAAAGTCTTTATTATGTTACAGCTTTGAAAGTCAGTGGGTGACTTTTTTCTGTTTTTTTTTTTTAGACAGCCTATCAGTAATCACTCTTTTAGGGTTACGTGAAGTGATTTCCCAGCATTTTTTTGAACACTGACCAGTCGCAAATGTGATATTTATTTAAAACAATTTAATAAGATGTTAATATTGTGGTATATATTAGACACAATATTGTCTGATTTTTCTAAATTGTGTAAATGAAATAAAGCCACAGAAGAACTGTCGTTCGTCTCCTAACAAAACACAATAGGCATTTGACTTGAAGCAGCACTGCACAGACCGTTCTGTGTATGACATCAAAGTACCGCAAGAGCAATTAGAGAGCATTTTTTTTATTTTTTATTTGATGTCAAATAGATCTTGCTGTTTTGGTTTTTTGTTAAAGCAGTGTTGCTGTTGTAAAGTTATACAGCTGCAGTTGTGTTGCTTGGTTATGAGTTAGGCACTCATGTGAAAAACACCTCAGATTGTGGGCTTTTGTCGGCGATCTCCATTAAATGTCTGTTTGTGGAAAATCAGGGCTAAAATCATGTAGTGTGTGGGGGTGAGCGTGATTTGACCAAGTACAACATGTTCCTGGATCAACATCCTTGCTGATCCTGGAACAACATTCCAATCAACGAATCAGAATTGAGAGATAACTTTTCAGGAAATGTCAGTTTTAGGCTTACAATCAGGATTAGGTGCTTCTACACCCTTGTTAATCAGCTATCATTTCCCTCTGATTTTAGGAATAAATTATGGGTAAGGTTAGGTTTAGGGGTGGGGATTGGGTTAAGTCTATATTTTTGGACAGTAATGCTGATCCAGGATCAACAAAAGATGTTGATCCAGGAACATGTCTTACTTGGCAAAATCACGGCGACCAGTGTGTGGGTGCCATTAGAGCTTTTTCCAGTCCATTTACCATTGGTTAGCTAGCAGTTTCAAGTCACACAAGTAGCTAACATTATGGTTAATGTTAAGAGTTCATTTAAAAATTCAAACATGTTCTTGAGTGTTAACACACACTAGCATGTCAGGTGAGGGTAGTAGAGAGAGAAGAGGATTCGGGCAGAATGTTTAAGTTTAAAAAAACAAACAAAATGACAAAAATCACCCAGTAGGGGAAAACACAGTCACACACAGGTACGGCAGGCAGGCTTGTACATGACAGGCAGAGGCGGACAGTAACTAAGTACATTTACTTGAGTATCTATACTTTACTTGAGTATTATTTTTTCTGGAAACTTATGACTTTAACTTCACTACATTTGAAAGACAAAATTTACTTTTGGTACTTAAGTACTTTTAAAAGCAAGTACTTCTGTACTTTTACTTAAGTAAAAATCTGTCTTTACAACTTTCACTTGTAATGGAGTAATATTTGACCAGCAGTATCTGTACTTTCACTTAAGTAACAGAGTTGTGTACTTTGTCCGCCTCTGATGACAGGACGCAAACACTTAAAAAGTGAAAACATCCACAACAAACTAGAAAAGGACAGATCACACAGAAATTAATAAGGAGAGTAACCAGGGAGAGCAAGTGCACGGGGCAAATGAACTGATAACAATGTAACAAGGGGAACAGAGCTAAGACAAGAAACTGACAGAAGAGCACATGAAAAATGGGGGAGAAAATCATAAGCCATGTGCTCTAACTGAAAACAACACTCAGAGACTACAGAAGAGCACATGACTACAGCTGAAGCCATCTCACTAGAGTCACAAGAAATGAGGCAAGCACCCAGCTATGACTGCGCCACCTACGGTTTTAAATTATTTGTTCATAATCATTGTTAATGGACATACTGACTTCATCCTAAGCTATAATAATGTATGTTGTGCATTATTTCAGCAATACGTTGTCTTTTTGTGGCTTGCAAAAAGTCTATGCTTTCATATAGATAAATAGGGTTATGCAATATGTTAACTTTTTTAACCTTGTCGATTGTAAGTGAACTTTTCATTCTAGAATGTGTGAAGAGAGATAATTGATAATTGATAAATAATTGATAGGGTATGATATTTTCTCTGTGTTTGGGAAAGATCCTGTCTTGCAAGGTGACAGCTGCAAAATTGTATTTCTTTTTAAAGAGATGTTTGTATGGTATTTGATGTGTACAGTGTGTATAGAAAAGAATCACCCCCTTCACAATAATCACATTTTGTTGCTTTGCAGCCTGACATGAAGACGGACACAGTTTTTGTTTTATCCAGCTGTATTTACTCAACTGTATTTACTTTATTTATAAGTACTTGCAAAAGAATATGGTTTGCAACATTCTAACGCTGTGTCTACACTGGACGTGTCAAAGCAAACTTTCCAAATCATTAGCTGTTGCCAGCATATGGAGTACATCAGAAATAGAACTGTTTATTACTTGTCTTTACTCTCAGCACACATCCAATGTACAATGGGTTCTATGTCTTTTTGACGTAACACGTTATGCCGCTCGTGTATAGATGGTATAAAACCTTCAAGGGGACCTATTATGCTTTTATACCTGTTCTATCCTATAAGCACTGTTTCTGAACTCCCTCAGATGCTGTGATCATAGTCCTGAGTTTTCTTCCAAGAATACATATCGCTAATTTAAATAATTCCCACCTACGGCATATGCAAAATTTGAGGTGGCGGCCGGGGCTTGGTTGTGTTACTCTTTTTTTTTTCTGTTGTGATAAGCTACCTAATTAAAGTTTTAATGTCAAATTTCTAATAGCATTTCTTTAACATTCATATATAATTTATATTCACGTGGCTTCTTTGCTCCCTGGGAAATAAGGGACCTGGTTTATAAATAGAGGGGCACTGGCCCAGAAAGGGTAATTAAAACATCAGTCACATTAAGGCACATGTGATCCAAGTTGACCAGTATGTTTTCTCTAATAGTAGAGCCACAGAGGTTAGTATCTTCCCATAATAAGACCATCGAAGACTTAACGAAGTTTGGTTGAACTTTGTTAAGTTCAACCAAAGGTGGCGTTCCAGCACCACCAGGTTGGCCATGGCCTTGCCAATTGCCAGTGCAGTGGCCTTTGTAGCACGCAGAGCCAGGTCAGCTGCTGTGCGCTCCTCATTTGGGAGTCACACTCATGGTCTTCACGGTCAAAAGTGACCGGACACATGAAATGTAACTTTTTTTTTCTTTAGTAAAATCAATCTAATATATTTTTGTTCAATAATATTTTTTCTTTTGTATTTTGAGAGAATTTCATGGTACTCATTAATATCTATGCAATAATTATGATAAATTTTTCCCATTGAAAATAGTACAAATTTAATTTTTCTAATTTTTTAAAATTATTTTTCAATTACCAAACACGAGCTTTATTGCCAGGTATGTTTACACATACGAGGAATTTGTTTTCGTGACAGAAGCT